CACACACACACACCAACACACAACACACACACACACACACACACACACACACACACACACACACGCACACACAGAGGTAAATGACAGCCAGCCTGGTTGGAAATCACACTTTCAGAAAAAGAAAATACTTTATAGTAATGCCTTGTAATGGAGAGGAAATATATGCGAATACAAGGAGATGAAGAACAAAAGTGACTTTTGGTGTGGGGGGGGGGGGGGTTGTAAGTAATGCAGTGGGGACTTGGATGAATGTCTTCCTTTTAGTTAAGTAAGAGGTCAGATGAATGTGAAACAGATAATACAAAGTTGATTTCAATGTGTATTTCTTCAACCATTTCAGGCAACGGTTCTGGTTTCATGAAAGTCATGGAACGCTTGATGAGAGGAGTCTGGACACCCGGGGCCATCGAAGTCATGCAGCCAACCTTGTATGTTAATTTATTTACCCTGTTTTTGTAATATGACTCTTTGTATGAAAAACTTAATTTTTTGGTTATATGTGATTGTGTATCTGCTGAATGTTCTAATGGGTTTCTGAATTATATATATTTATATATGTATTTGTTATTTAGAGGGTCATTACTTTTACTTATTCTTCGATACAATTTGTTTCTTAAGCTTAAAACCATCTCTAAATATGTATTAGTATCATTATTATAAAGAAGTGAAAAAACACTTGTTCCATACTCATCAGTATTGTTTAAAAATATTTATTACTTAATTTTTGCAATAGCTGACATACAAGCAGTTATAGAAAATATATGACTAACATTTAAAGAGCATGGGAAACTAAACCATTTCCTACCCCCCTCCTCATCAGCCCCACGAAAGCTTCCATCGCTGCTGCATTTATCTTTGTGCTGGATAAGAAGACCGACCTTATCTCCGCGCCCCATGCTCTTGTCTACTTCGGCATCTGCATCTTCTTTGTTTACTTCAAGGTGAGATTTGGGAACTTAGGATCTTGTGTGTTGTATTCATCACTGTACAGGATTTAAAGATCTTAACCCATTAACGCCAGTATATTTTGAAGCCGAGAATAAAAGATTCCTGGCGGCTACAAAATTGGTAGGCGGAGCTGCCCCGGACTCTGACGCAGCCTGCTGCTGCATCAGAGCGTGAGCCCCGATACAGCGTCACACTGAAGGAACGCCCGGCAATGTTTATTTTTACAGGTGTCTCATATGTGGGACACCCATCGTTAGTGGGTTAATAAGGATGAAGGGCGTGCGTGTGCATGTGTCTGTGTATGTGCATGGTTGTGGGTGTCCTTGGGTGGGGGTGAGCATATGTATGTGCGTGTGTGTGTGTGACCTCAATTTTCATATTTCTTTGTATAATGAAAAGGGTTAATGAAAGGGGGAAAGTATTAAGAAGAAATGTATCTTTGTATTGTACACCAGACATTTTATTTTCATGTATGTTTTTGCTCTCTGCCTCTCTTTTGCATTGTTTGTAGGGGGGGGAGCAAAAATGTTACTAATTCTAATATCACTGGTATTCATGTCACATGGATAAGGTTTTTTTATTTCATTCTTTCTATCTTTTTAAGGTAAAAGTGTTACCTTGATTGTTTGTAATGTCTTGAAATTTTAGGTAGAATTCAAAATATTTGTTTGGAATGAAACAACTTATTTACAAAACTTACTTTCACTGAAACTTTGATGAAACTGGTATTTTTACTTTTGTAGGGGCATTTTTACATACAACTTTTCTCTAAACCTCCTTTCTAATGTCTCTTATGTCAAACATTGAATATTAAATGAAAGACAAATTATTTGAAGTAGATTTTTTAATCATCTCACTGGAGTCCAGTTGTGTTTCAGTGTGTAACTTTACATATGTATTATACAGTTTAAATTTTTTTCCCCATTAGATGGTTGTTTGCAGTTATTTATTTGAGAACTATGTATGCTTTCTCTTCTTTTATTTTATTTTCTGTAAGTTCTTCAAGCATCACCCTTCCCTTCGCAGCTCTCATCACTGCTGCTGGGCATCCACGACCCCTTCCTGCCCTTCGAGAATTTGTTCTGCGCCATCTTCCTTGGTGGCATCTGGGACTCCCTTGCCCAGACACTTGCTGGCAAGAAGGGTGCCGCAGCCGAGAAGAGTGGAGAGGCCGTCAAAAATGGTAACGGCAAGAACAAAAAGGACTGAGGCAGCAGTGGTGTTTTTTATTTTTTTCATGTGTGACTAACATGATAGTGTGGGAGGATGGACTCTTTTTGTAAGTATTGGCAATTATTTTTTTTCTTCCATCAATTTTGTATGATTATAGCTGTATTTTGTTCAATTCTTCTTTCTTTCCTCATTTTTATCATAATCTGTATTTTAATCATTTCAAGCTTTCTATTTGCCATTTTTTCTCCTTTGGAAAAGGAATAAGGAAATCTACTCAGTATATAATATGCTAAAACTTCAGTCCAAATTAAACTGAATATATTTCCAGTTCTAGAGACAAATATCATCATGAGGTAGTTTGACTGACAAAGATTGAAGTTATTTGTTTTAATTTTGTGTGTGTGTGTTTGTGTCTGTCTGTCTGTGTGATTATGTAGTTGCGTGGCTGTGGTTGTGGCATGCGTTTATTCATCTGTGGGTGTATCTGTGTGAATGTTGTGGGTATGTGCATACACTGTTGCCTTTGTGCTTGCATAAAGACATAGAGAGAAGGAAAGGTAAAAGAGAATATAAAGGAGATTAGCCTCATGTAAATATTAGTGAACTGATAATGAAAATTTTGAGCTTCAAAGTTATTAATTGAATAGATTATTCTAAATAGAATGGTTTAGTGGCCAAAAAGACGAGGCTGTTCTAAAAAAAAAGTAATCAGTTAGATATGCAAAATAGATTTTTAAAAGCAGATAAAGCAGTGCTTATCAGGTACATCATGGCTTTAGATTGCATGTAACAACTCCATAGGATTCAAACAAACCAGGTATCTTCTGTTAATCTTGAACAAAATTTTCCTTAGATGGTTCCTGTGTCTTGTGTTATAAAATAAGTTATAGTTTTCTTGGTATATTTCTAATTGCATTTTTTTCTTGCTTTTCCTTGCACTGATATATACCTTGCTTTCATAGAGATGATTAATTTCTACTCACATGTTTTATAATCAAATATTGTTATTTGGACAGATAGGCATTTTTATATATTTTATTGGAATATGATATATTTTTAGCACTTCCTGAAATTTAATCTTATATACTCTTTCAGGCTAACCTCCTTGGTACGACTCCCACCGCAACCAAAATCATTGAGATACGTTTGTATTCTCAGCACTTTTCTACCAACTTTTATGGCAGTGAACACATATTGATATACACAAAACAGTCCTGTGTTTACAACCCATTCTGTATTTTTTTTTTTTTTTCTATTCTTTCAAACATTGTTATGACAAGTAATTTATAATACACAAGGCCAAACAATATTGTATGAAATTGGCCTAAAGCGGTCTTTGTATGCGATGATTTCATATGAATGGTGGTTTTAAACTTGATGGAAATGGAGGAAATTGGTAAAAGAAATAGTGAAGGGAATTTAGTCTGTTCAGTTTCACAGTTATTATTATTATGGTTATTATTGTTATAATGATTATAGTGTCAAGAATGTGGAAATTATAAGTGGTCAAATTTCACCCACTTATTTTTAATTTTTCAGTTTGTTATGATATGTAATGTCTGTATACATAGTCGCTGAACTGTTTCCTCATTACTTGTACAACGGAACAGGTATAGAATGTACAAACGACAAACCATCTACGTGGTATCGAATAGTACTTTTTTGTGACAAGGGAAATCTTCAGTATTATTTAGTACTTACACTCGGAAATGGAACGCAATGAATTGTTTCTTTCTTCCTATGATTTTGCCTGCAATGATAAACTGATCAAGGGATGGTGACTTGCTTCTTAAAGTATCTCATCCCAGTGATCTTGATAAGATAATTCTATGTTTTTATTATTTTATTGATATTATCTTTATTATTGTTATTACTATTATTATCACTTTTTTTTTTTTTCTTTTTTTTTTGTGATAAATATTTTGTTCTTGTTTCTTAGGTAGTCAATTCTTTTGAATGTTTTCTAGTATCCAATGTCTTCAGACCCTACTAGTCATGTTTATGTGTTTCCTAGCAGAGGGTTTTGCCACGTCCCCCTCCTACCTTTCAACAGTCGACCATCCAATCCATATACCTATTTCTCTCCATGCCCCACCACTCTTTCGTTTTTTCTTACAGGATTCTGGTGTGGGGACTGTGTGCATTATTCTCTGCTTTTCATAGTATTTTGTTGGTGAAGCATAACACTCATTTTTCTGGTCTTTTTAGATTAATAACAAATGGTATCTGATTGGCTCAGTTAAAGTGTAAAAAAAGGAAAGAAAGTTTGGAAAGGACACAGAGACACACACACATAAAAGATATCTAGGAATTTCATGAGAGACCAGACATAGTGCAATAGTTTCTCATGGTTTATATGTATGTATAAATAAAAACAGAACTCTAGCAGCAAGACCTTAAAGTATATACAAACACACACAAGGTGTTAGTCGGCTGCTTTTTACGTCCACTCCACACCTCCCTTCACCCATCCTCAGCCCTCTCCCACCCATGCAGCGGTCTGGCATGTTGCAGCCGCACAAAAGACAAACAAGAGATAATAATACTTGGCCGGGCATGCTAGTCTGCATTCTTTTTTTTTTCTTCTTTGATGATGCCATAATGTCAGAAATCACAGAAAATTGTTAAATTTTTACAGAAAATAAAAATGTGAGACCCTCGTCTTTGTTTTTTTTTCCCTGTATCAATTGTAGTCAAGAAAAATGTTTGTGTGTGTGTGTGGGGTGGGGGTGGGGTTGTGGTTGTGATTGCCATTAATAAGTCATATATGCTATTCAATCTATTTTATGTTCCCATAGTAATGTAGTTAATTTTGCATCTATAGCCCAGGATATATAAGGACATATCAGCTACTCAGACAAATCTCAACTCTGTCTCAATGGTAATGTTCTTATCAGTCCAAACAGATTAAGTCAACCTATCACTAAAGTAGCTGCTGCAATAACAATTTCAATTTCAGTAATGGAACTTACACTATAACCGATCTGACTTCCCAATTATTTGAATAAATGCTGGAGTTCTTGATCTGAGAGACTCAATTGGAATAAGATTTTTGTCCGGAAACCCTCCTGGTTTTCCTGCACTAATCTTCATACCACACTGATGGTGTCCAATTGAGTCTTTCTGCGAAATCTCATAACTAATGAAATAAATTTCAGCAACACTACTCTTCCACCAACTTTCACACTACTGGAAAAACTGCTTTATTTCAGTTATAATGAATTCATGTGAGAAACTGAACCAATAAGGAGAAAACACATCCTTGTCTAATGCATTCTGCACAAAACCAAGGCTTTCATTTACAAGTATGAGTCTCTTTGCAGGTTCATACATTGTGTTGGTACCGTAAGTGCTAATGTTGCATTTTTACATTATCAGAAAAATGCCTTGTGTCATTATTAAACCCATGCAGCCAGGGATGGTATGTGTGTACATGCCATGCCCACTGTGTATTTTATTTAGTAAATCTTTTCACACATAGACGGCTCCATAAATACTAGGTCTCACTTGTTTACCATTTTCCTTGATTTTCAAGAATATTTCCTGGTACCTTACATTGCTGTTAGTTATGACAATAACATAGTAATTATGATGTCTATTATAAAAATAAAAGTATCAATAAATATAGCACTAGTTAAAAAAGATTTTTCCTGCAAACTCCAGGAAAGGTGAAATGAGGTGAGGTCACAAGGTGTACATAGATGGCAGAGCCATCTATGTGCTCTGACATTTCACAAAACAATACTACACTGAACACAGCATTTTCCCAGGGGCATTGGGTCAAAGGCTCTCTTATAGTCAACGAAGTTCTGGTATGATGGTTGTTGGTGAGCCATTCATTTCTCAGAGAGTATCTTAAAACTGTAAATTTGCTTTGTTGTACTTCTGTGTTCTGAAAACCTTAAAACCATGCACTTGTAAGTTTCTTAAAGAAATCAAAGGTAGCTTTCATATTACTCTGAATGATATGAAACAATACCATGTGATAAGTAGATTAATATATGTGAAAAAAATAAGAATTTACGAGAGTGCATGCGACTTGCTATAACTTGATTTTCAAAAGATTATTTTTTCAGAACCATAACAGGTTGCCTCAGTCAAAATACTAATTATATAGGTATGTATAGATATAGTATAATATAATTTTCCTATTTTAACTTAGTAACATGAAGGAAAGCCATCTGCCAAAAGAGAAGATAATACAGGAAAATAAATTCACACAAACAAATTAAAGTATGAAAAATTAAATATTACAAAGCAATAAAGAACAAGAAAACATTAATAAATCTGAAAAAGAATTCAAATAAGCTAGTCTTTCTGTAATCATGACAACTCATTATTTTTTTTAAATAATTTTCTGCCTGTACTTTTTATATGTAAAAACTTACAAAAGACTTCATAACTTTCCCCCCAATCCCTTGCCTGTTGTTGTCGAAGGAGACAGAGACCCAGGGATCTCCCCTACCTAGGGCCTCAGCCCTCGACAACTAATTTTGCATGGTCTTTTCCCCCTCCAGCTTTCTGTTTCCGTCCCTTCAACCCTTTCTACTATCTACTTCCTAAGGTGTAAGAGCCGTGCTGAAATGATGAAAGGCTGACCTTGTGCCAGTCCTGAACGGCCTGCGGGAACCATGGGCACGGTATTCCCCTGATTTAGTTGTCTAGCCTTTACCCCCTTAAGGGGACTGAGGGGGTGGACTGTTTATGTCCCCTACATAATCAGGGCTTCCCATGGCCAGTAATGAAGCTATGCCCATATTAAAGGCAATGAGGCTTACCCCTTCATCAAATAGCCCCACCAATTCAGACTCTACCGGCTCCCCGACCCCAGACTCTCCTTTGACCACGACTCTGAACACTGAAACTACTACCCACTCCTCAATGCCTACCAGTGTACTACCCACCCAAGCCGAGACTCAATCTCCAGAAGACATTCCTACTCTCCCAACTTCCTCAACTTCATCACCTCTACCCCTACAACCTTCTTCATCAAACACCCCAACCTCCCTTATTACTACCTTACAGCCTTTTTCTCCATCTCTCCGTAAAACTACCCCCCTCAACAACACTCCCTCTTCCACACGTCCCCGTCCTTCTACCACCAAACACCTTACAAATATCTTAAATACTCTATTTAGCCCAGCTAAATGGGACCGATTTTTCGTGATCCTCCTACAGCGCCTTACTCTGGCAACTCTTCTCTTTCAACAATGCCTCCAAAAACAAGTGGGTAGAGTCCCTTTCCATACCTGACGCGATCGCTTCCGTCTTGTAACAGTCAGATATGAAACTGAAGCTATAGCATTATCAAATCTAATTGATCACTCTGGCAACCCCATTCCTGCAGAACCTCATCCAACTCTTAATACTTGTACCGGAAGTCTCTATCCCCCCAGCAAACTGTCCAGTCGATACCAAAGATTGGTCAGACTGTGGAGAAGACTTACTCGAATGCCTCAAAGACCAAGACGTGAAATCAGTACATTGCTACTCAATTCCTCGAAAGAAACCCACCAACACTGCCAAAATTACTTCCAGTACACATGACCCCGTTCGTATATACATTGGTGGACATTCCATCCCTGTTCGACCATACCAACCTCCTCCCCGCCAATGTCAAAACTGTTGGCGATTTGGACATCCTGCCAAACACTGCCGCTCCACAGACCGATACCCCCTAAGTGTCCAACCCGGTCATACCAGATCAAACTGCTCTGCACAAACACGTACATGTGCTAACTGCGGCGCCCCCCATAATGTATTTTATTGAGGCTGTCCCATTTAAAGTTCGAGTCTGAGGTAGCAACTCTCAAATACAAAAATGGTCTCACTACGTGAATCCAGACAAGAAACACGCCAACAAGGTTTCTCTTATACTCCCTACTCTAATAATGTCGCTCGCTCTGCCCCTCCCCCTCCACCTCAAGGTGTTCCTACACCCTCCCCTATACCTACTTACTTCCCTACTTCCACTTCTACATTCAACCTCCCCCAGTCAAATTCTTTTGCTACTCTAAATCCAGACACACCAATCTCAACTACAGCCCCAACACCGCCCCCTCTCCCTCCCCGCACTACCCGCAGCAGACTAAACGTTCCCCCTCCTTCCCCTACTGCACACTCACCTCCACCTACCTTTGCCTATATTCCTCAGATACCAGTCTCCTCTTACCCCCCTCATAAGAAAACCTTTGTCTCACAAAACTCTCCAGAAACTGTGGAAGATATCCAAAACTATATGCTTGAGACACAAAGTTCCACAACTCTTACTCCCTCCACACTCGAAGGACTGCCGATATCCATCCCCTTCCTGCTCATATTCCCCCCTACACCCCTTCTTCCTACTCCCTCTCAACACAACCTAACCCCCTCAATTCCGTCTACTACCGATATCCATCCTCATAATGCTACCGATATCAATCCTCCTACTCATATTCCCCTTACACCACTTCCTTTTTCATAATTTAAACCCGTATTTTAATACAGAAAATTTGATGACTGGATATTCTCCTTTGAAGATTTGCAATCTTCTGTCAGTTCTAAAGTGGTTTTAGAGTAAATCCACGAATCTTTCAGCTTTAATATAGATAAAAAAGAGGCAGGCGCATAAAAAAAAAACTGTTAGCTCTTCTCTGGTTTCCGTCTCCAGATCTTTGTATTTAAACATTTCTTTTTCTTGGCTTTTGTTTCTTCTATACTATGCTATACAATGGTGCTGCCATATCTAACAGTCAATAAGCATTTTTCTTATTGTTTTAGTGACGAATCCAGGAGGGGCCTCACACCCCCTTTGTTTAATGAACTGTGAAAAACGTAATACTTTGTATAGAGAAACGAGAAAAATGTCGGCAGCAGTCTGTGTACTGTTTTGCTGGAACCAATAATAAATTGCATGGAAAATGTCTTTGAAATGCGAAAAATACTCTTAATGCTGATAGAGGAGAGGTGAGGATGTTAGGTCTAGCAGTGACAAAAGTTTAAGAATTCAAAAACCTTGGCTCAACTGTCTAGAGTAATAGAAATTACAGCAAAGCCGTGAAAAAGTGTGAAGGCATGGTGGAACGGATGGAGAAAAGTGTCAGGAATTATCTGTGACAAAAGGATATCGGCTTGAATAACAAGGAAAATTTATAAGATAGTTGCGTGGCCTGCAATTTTATATGAACAGGAAACAGAGGTAGAGACTGTTTTTCTCAAGTTGTTGAGATTTTCTTTAGGGAGTGACAAGGAATGCTAAACTTAGGAACGACTATGTAAGACAAACACAGCACAAGTTAAACGCTTAGGGGGGAGTAAGCGAAGCAAGACTTGGGTGGTTTGACCATGTTCTGCCGAATTACGTGCAGTGCATCGGTAGAAGAATGAAGGAGAAGGAGAAAGAGACGACCAAAAAGAAGGTTCATGGATGTTGTTATAGAGGTCATGCAAGAAGTCGGTCTGGCAGAGGAAGTGGCCGAAGGTAGAACAAATTGGAAACTGATGATCCGCTGTGGCGACTCCTAAATGGTAGCTGCCGAAAAAAAGGAAAATAATAAATCCACTAAGCATAAACCGTTTCGCAATCTACACACTATCGCGATCGGTGCTTAATTACGGCCACACATGCTCTTCAGTTAACAGTGCCATGTAAAACAAGGTATAAGGAATGTCGTTGTGTTGT